GTATAGCTTTGAGCTGTTTTGGTCGAAAAGGGTACAAAGATAAGAGATTATTTTTATTCCTTTTCATTAGTTTGTCGTAGCTGTATTGTGAAGTATCTTCAAACATCTTATCACTGTCCTGTTTGTGATGTTGAAGTACACAAAACTAAACCTCTGCTGCATATTAGGTGAGAGATGCTGCATGTTTCTAAAGTCAAATCACTTCCTTTTTTATCCACGAGCCAAAACTAGATCATGATTTTTCCTTCCTTTTTTTCAGACCTGACCGAACTCTTCAAGACATTGTCTTCAAACTTGTACCAGGCCTCTACCAGGGTATGCTTTGTGTTGAATTTTAGTGACGTATTTCCGGAAAAAGAAAGTTGGCAATTTTTAGTTACGTATTTCCGATATGTCGACTAAAAGTATTTGTCTCTGGTCAGAGTTAGCGGGCTGCATAAAGTTTGACAGAATACAAAGTAAAACTGAAAGAATAGAAAGACAATTTGAGAGACTGGAACAGGCTAAGTAATAAGGGCTCCAGACTAGTGGCCTTCGCGCGTGTGCCTTGTGGGTGGAACGCGCGTGGCCTCCACGAGCGAGGCATAAGTTAAGTGAACTCGTTCGGTGGCCAACTACATGAAAACGTATCCAGCAGTTTATTTTTTGAAGTAGTATTTCAGTTCACAATTGTTGAAATACATTCGAACCTCTCGTAAGCGACAACCCAAAATGTCACTCCTAGGTGGTCGCTTACGGGAGGTGGTCGCTTACGAGAGCTTAGACCATATTGGGTCAAAATATTGCCTCATTAGCATATGGCACTGCAGGGAAGAGACTTCCCCTATGCGTCAATACCCATCTAAACCCAGGAAATAACTGTCATTATTCTCCAACTGCAGCGAATACCGTTCAAATAACAGTACAAAATACAGCGATATTGTACAGTTATTTCTACAGTAGAAAACCTGTTTGCCGGACAGGTCAGCGCGCGTACGCAAAACTGTCACACTCTCCCTCTTTCACTGATAAATTTATTGACTAGCGCCGGCAGGTGGATAATAAATCTCTTATTAGATGTTTTGATGTGTAGTAGCGCTGTATATTTTTTACTCGTTGGGTTTTTTTTGACTCGCCCTACGGGCTCGTTAAAATACGGCACAACTCGTAAAAATATACAGGGATACTACACACCAAAACATCTCATAAGATATATGTAGCCACAAAAATATTTTTAAAGCTTTCCAAAGCATTTATTTAAAGCAACATAGCTCGCTTCTGATAAACTAACTAATAAGGCGAACGGAGCAAGTCTCACGATAGTTACAAATTGATTCTTGAATGTTGTCTAAACGTTAGGAGGAACTGAACATGATCTAATAAGGATTTTATTGACCACACCTCATTATCCAATTTCCGCTCTATGGTCGCTTACGGAAAACAAATTAAAGAAATTTTCAAACTTTTAGTTCTAAAAGTGGTCGCGGTCGCTTAAAAGAGGTCATCGCTTACAAGAGGTTCCAAATATAGCGATCTGACTTAAAAACTTTTGGTATTTTGGAAAACTGGTCGCTGGGGAGAGGTGGTCGCTTACGGGAGGTGGGTGCAACCGGAGGTTCGACTGTAGTCATGGCTACTACCTTACGTAGTGCGGTCTGCATTCTCAAAGTTTCATAAATTATATTGAATTAAAGTCGTACTGTATATTAAAGAGTTTTTTTTTATTTGTTTAGCTGAATTGAAGCTCCGTCATGATTTTGAAGAAAAACAAAGAGAGGAGAACGTGGCGCCAGGTAAACTCCAGAGGAGAAATATGTGGGTGGTCCGATAAGCGCTTTATACTGTAAATACTTACATCTTATTAACCAAGCGCGAGGGCCGCACTGGGAGAATAGGCACCTTAAACAACAGACGTTTTCCTTGACGACGGCGACGTGACGACCGATAAGAAACTGGGGCTAGAACAGCTTCAGGTTGCGGTCGCGACAGCAAGTTACATCCTTCAAGAAGGATTTCTCGGGTTAGCATCACATCTTTTTGTTCTGTCCACTCCATCTACGAGTTGAAGATAAACTAGTCCCCTAGTAGCGTAGCCAATCAAAATGCAGGATTTGCATTAGTCCACTAGTTGGGTGATACTAATGTATATTATAACAGTCTCAAGAGAGGACGAAGGGTGAGGGGTTGATATCCCCATATGGGGCTTATTCTAAAGGTAATCCATCTCCAGTCATTTTTAGATCACATCCAGTTTGAGAAATCCCAGGAGAGTCTAGACACAGCCAATCCTATGTGGTAAATTTTTCTCACGTTGACATCCTAAGTGGCTTTTGGATTACCTTCAGAATGAGGCCCATATGAGGATGAACTCTCTTCTGTCGCCCTCCACGTAACCCCGCGCCTGCACTCACATCAGTCGGCGGATTTTCCCTACCCCTAAAGCATCTTTGAGCCTCTGCGGTGGAGAGAGCTTATACCCTTTATCCTCTGTTGTCTGTCAATAGTCCCTAACGCTTTACAGCCAATCTATTCCTGGCAATGATTCCGGAGTGCTTTGACTTTTTAGTCTTTGACAAATTCGTTTTGAGTTATCGAGGGTACATTCGGCATAGAGAAAATGACGTGAATGGAGAAGAAAATCACTTTGGCTTAGCGAGAGATTCGAAATATCGGGGGTTCGAGCATTACCCATGGTGAAGTTACAGCTAATGTATGAAGGTAATCCAGGGAAAATAAGTTTTGGTTCCAATTAGCGCAAGATTCGAGTTACCGTAGGTAATCAAACTCAAACAGGTGTTCTCTACCTGTTATCGTAAATTGAAATTCACATCACTCTTGTTCACACTGGACTCTTTAAGGTTACTTCAAACCTTCGCGGGTGTCCTCCAGAAAAAAATTCGTACGCGCGCTGTTTTCAAGGAAACCCCCACAAACTATATATCAACAGAATGGTTATAAAATGTAGAATTCGATAAAATTATGTTTTGTTTTGGATTTTGCTTTCCAAAGGCGGCAGAGGCCATCAACTCCAAAATGACCGACTGACGTTCCAGCGAATTAATCGGGTATCAAATGCGATTGTTCA